GGAGGAGGAGCAGAAACACGGGAGGAGGAGCAGAGACCCGGGAGGAGGAGCAGAAACACGGGAGGAGGAGCAGAGACCCAGTTAGATCCTGGGTTAGACTGGATGAGGTTCCTGGGGCAGAAAGAGCGGGGCCTTGAGCCAGACACAGTTTATGCTCAGCAAGAACATCACTGGGGGCAAAAAGGCAATAACTACCCCCTCCCGCCCGTCTTCTGTGGTGCTCTACAGACCCGGCTTGTCTGGGTGAAAAATCAGGCAGCTGCCCGCCGCACAGAGCTGCATCTGTGCTCTGTGTGTGTCTTGACTGCAGCCTTACAGTAAATCCGTGCATGCCTTTGTGTGCCCCCTCCTCTTGGTGGTGGTGATGTAATGCTGTGTGTGTGTGTGTGTGTGTGTGTGTGTGGTGGGGTGTATAATAAGTTCATTTATTTGTCAACACTGGGCCCACCAGATGAGAGAGCGGCTGGTGGATGAGGCAGTCTGCAGCTATCAAAGGGCTGCCGCTCTGCTGAATGTGACCGTATGCTAATGAGGGGACTGCCCCGCTCCCCCATACCCCCTCCACACACCCCCATACCTCCCTACAGCCCATCGGTGGCCCAGGAACAGAGGAAGGGGCAGGGTCCCTGCAGGGTCACTCTATTCTTCCTGCAGAGCCTCACAGAGGTCTGGACAGGGTGTATGGCAGGCCGATTTAACATAAAATCTGCTCCACGACACATTCCACATATCTCCCCCTCATCCCCCCCCATCTTTGTCCAGCGTGTCTCACTGAGTTGCGTCTTTTGGTTCAGAGGGCTGGAGGGCCATTGGGTGAGGTGAGGTGATGACTCTAGACAATGGAGTCACACTCTGCATTAATATGCTAACAGCCGCTGCCGGCTGCAGCCACAAAGCGCACAGCTCTCTGCGCCTCCCTGCGGCCCTCCATGCCTCTCCGAGCGGCCATGTGTCCTCCACAGAGGAAGGTAGGAGGGGGAGAGAGGAGAAGTGTCTCTCTGTCTTTCGCGGGCTTCTGGCCGTTCACAAGCTGTCTCATTTGCATCATGAATGACAGAGAGGGGAGCTAACAAGGTTATTGGTCTATAAGGCGCGCGCCTGTGACCACACGTGGAAAAAGGACCTACAGCAGCGCGCGCTGGCACAGGCACTGAGCCTCTTTATTCCCGCTATTCCAAGCGCTGTGGGGCTTTTTTCAGCAAGCACACGATTTACTGAGGAGATGGAAGAAAAGGGGCCGGCCGGGTAAAGGGGAGCCGGTGAGGGTGGCTGCTTTTCAGCTCCTTTATAAGCCGAGTGAACCTCATTATCCAGACCTGAGGTCGTTATGGAGCTGTGCTGCGAACCGCCGCAGCCCAGGCCAGCTTTATGAGCTGACTGCTGACTTTCCAGCTGACTAACCCTAACAGAAACACCAGGTGAACCCCGTATGTGGGTTAGCTGGTAGTGGCTAACCAGAGACAGTCTGAACATCTAAACCAACTGAATGAAAACAAAGTTATTTACTGTGGAGATGGAAGACCAAATATGATGAAATGGTTAAAAAGACATGGCAGAACTGAGCTTGAAGTCCCATTGTTTGTTGGAACGATACAACATAAAACATTATATTCAGTTTAGTTTATATAGGGCCAAAATGTTAACATATTTATTTCCATTAAAGACAGATTTTAATTTGTTAAACCTCTTTTGCATAAAAATGTTCTAAGCTGCTAATCTAGCACCACAGTAGCAGCTAATCCTAATGTAGCATCCACAGTAGCAGCTAACCATAATGTAGCATCAACAGTAGCTGCTAATGCCAATGTAGTATCCACAGTAGCAGCTAATGCTATTTTAGCATCCACAATAGCAGCTAATGCTAATGTAACCTCTCTCAGCTAACCTCTCTGAAGATGAATAGAAATCTTTGCTCCAGTCTGATGGCTGAAAACCTGAAGATTAAAACTATAAATATTTTTCTTTTCGGCTCATATCCATTTAAGAGTTTAGCAGCCGAATGGGTTGTTTTAAAATGTTGCCTATTTTGTAGATAAATGTTTAAAGATTAGTTGTGATTAATTACAGGACAACTTGCAGTGATATTGTTTGTCTCTTTGTCGCCCCCTATTGTTCCAGCTGGAAACCAATGTGCTAAAGAAACAAATTAGACGTTAGGGATGTTTGCAGCGAAGTGTCACCCTGAAATGTAACTGAAGTGAATTTTGTTGCAGATTTCCGATTCGCCATGTATCCCCCCTCCATGATCGCCACAGGAAGCGTGGGGGCGGCCATCTGCGGCCTGCAGCTGGACTCAGCCGACCAATCCTGGGGCGACAGCCTGACGGACCAGCTAGCCAAAATCACCAACACAGAGGTGGTGAGTCTGACGCTCTGATTCGCTCTCATCTGGATGAATTTCTCAGACAGCAGGAGGGTTTTCCTGCGTCTCAGCTGGGAACTTTGTGATGTTAGAAATACCAATAATGAATCACATCATTGCAGCTGAAACACGCCTTCATTGATCTGTCAGCAGGACTTTTCACACTCGTGTTTGGACATCCAGTTTTTGATAAGGAGCAAAAATTCTGACACCAGAACCAGAACCATGTCAGCATCTATGCCTTTTCCTTTGTGGTGCAGATTTAAAGATTTTCTTCAACAATTTCTCTCCTCTGCGTCTCGTTGGAGAATCCGCTTCTGAAGCAGCTCTAGATCAGGCCATCTTTAGCATACAGGTGTAGATGCTCAGTTCTGATTTCATTTTTTTTCTGCGTGTTCGTTCATGCTACTAAACAAACCCCACCGCAGTCAGACTTCTGTGTGAACGCTTTCTGACCCCGAAGCAACCAGCAGAAGAACGTAGCCGTCCACCAGCAGCACCGTGTTTACGGCAGCAAAGATGGCCGTCACAGTAAAGATGGCCGCCGTCTTTTGATGGATTGTAAAGTTGCTGAGAGCGTCAGCAGGAAGCTGATACAGCTAACAGCAGCGGCCTTTAGTGGAGCTGCAGTTTCTGACCCGGTTCTGTTTGGACATGGAGTCGGACCAGAAGTGGTCAGTTGGGATGTGATGCGTTCACTGACTGCTTTCATCAGTGATGAAATGAGCCATCAGGCGGCGCGGCGGGCGGTGTGGTGGTGCTGCAGCTGACTTCTGGTTGGTTCCTGCAGCCACTCAGACAGCTGAGTGGCTGCAGTGATGAGGTCAGACCAGCAGCATCTGGAGGTGAAGCAGAAGGAAGAGCAGGTGAAGCAGCCCGCCTGCCTCCGGCCCATGATGCATTGCAGCTGGAAAGCCGGGCTCCCTCTGCGTGGAGCTGTTGAAGCCTCACAGAGCAGAGTGGAAAAACAAACATCTGTCCTGAGCAGCACAGAGCCGCCGTTTGTTCGGCGCTCTGCGATCGGCTCTGAACATTCCTGGACTCAGACAAGCTGCAGCTCGCAGGAAACACAGGAGGCTGAACAGAGGGAATCCTCTCTAATGTGACGCAGGAGGAGCTGCAGTAATCCAGCTCTGCAGCGACCAGCACCGCTGAGTTTCCTCAACATGTGGAGCAAAGGGACAGAACGGTTCAGAGGTCGCCTGGGCTGCAGCGTTCACGCTGGAGAGCATCGCAGCACAAGAGCAGCGTCTCAGCCGAGCTAGATGTCAAAGCGAAGCGACTTCTGTCAGCACCAGCAGCTGCTGCAGCCAGCACCGCTGCAGCCAGCACCGCTGCAGCCAGCACTGCCCTCCCCCGTATCCAAAACCTGCAATCCACCAGGGGAAACACGATAGGGGCGAGGACGGGCCTGAGAGTGGAGGGGCCTGAGAGTGGAGGGGCCTGGGAGTGGAGGGGCCTGAGAGTGGAGGGGCCTGGGAGTGGAGGGGCCGGTGAAATTGCTTCACAGACTATTCCTAATATTAGTAAATCTGTGTGTACTTCAGGTGTGGGTGGAGCCTGTGGGTTGTGTTAGCCGTGACGTTGACTGAGTTCTGACCTGGGGCTTCTGGTTACTGGATTACTACAGGATGTAACGGTTAGAGAAGTGGACCACCGCTTCTTGGATTTTATTGTTTGTCGCCCGTTTTCTCTCATTTGTGTGTTTTTGTTCATTCAGGGTCACATGCTGAGACACCAGAAGCACGTTTTCTCATTTCGCCCTGCGTTCCCATTTCTGTCCCACTGTGGCTCTCATCAGCAGTGCTGAAACAAGCATACTTTATTTTGAAAGATCATGGCTTGTGATGTTTGGCTACCCAGGCCAAAGAAAGCAAAAGGTCACGCTTTTTGTTGGAACTTGTGGAAACTCTCAGTCGTGAGGCGTCTCTGCTTTCCCAGTGTCAGTCCTCAGACATGCTGTTTTGGGCCGGGGCTCGGAGTCTGCCTCTGGGTGTTTGCTTCAGATGTTCCTAACTCTGTCTCTTGTGGTGCAGGCAGCAGTTAAGTCACATTCCTCGGCTTCACACATTTCTTCCTTTTGGTTTTGTCTGTCTGCACGACTTCCCCCTGCTGCCAATGACACAAAGGCCGCCTGGCGATGACGCGCACGCGTCGATCCGTCGCTACGGCACAGCCATGCAGAACGATGCATGGGTTTGCTGGGGTTTGGGCTGGGGCCCTTCAGGACCAGGGCTGCAGGGGAAGAGCCGGCTCACGTGGTTTCCGGTTCCAGGCGTTGCATTGTTCCGTATATTGAGCTGCTCTGAAACATGTTTCCAGTAGTCACACACTGAAGTCATTAATGGTTCTCCAGTGAAGCCCAGGAGGCTTGGCTTGGGATCCCAAATGCTGCTTTTTAGAGCTGCAGAGACAGAGGGAGAATGTCTTTTAAGAGCAAAGGCACGCATTCCTGTGGTAAGACACAGTGCATGTTCTGCACTGCTTCGTTTTCTCACAGGGCTTGAGATTTTATGACCAATGGGGCTCATGTTTGTTGGAATCTATGGGTGAACAAACTCTTCTCATATTAGCAGCAAACTTCTTCAAATGTTGACCCGACGATGCTTTTCAGGTTTCCTCCATGCGTTCCAAGGAGATCCGTCCTGCAGCACTCCATGCTCTGACCAACAAACCTGACCCAGCAACTTGAGTTTTCTGTTGGTTGATATTTCACAGTAAAGCAAACCGATTGTTTCTGACAAACTTCCACCATCCCATTGGGTACTAGTGAGTTTGATGAGCGCCTCGCCGTTTCTTCTCCACTTGAGAAGCCAACGCTCCCCGTACAGGGAGCAGCAGCCTATCTGCTGCGAGTCCTTGTGACTGGTTGTACCGATTCTCTACGTGATCAGCTCAGTGTTGCAGACACCAAATACTCAGTCATAGAAATGTACGATTATGCAGACGTGTTCGACATACGTTTGCATCGAGTCCACCTCAAGAATGCACTGACCTCCCAGGAGCGTCGTATGCAGAGTATGATGGGGCTTTTAGAGGTGATTCAAAATGGATCAAACATCCAGTTTCTCGCAGTGATCATCAAACACACAGCAACGCTGTCCTCTTCTGCAGATTGTTAGCAATCCTTTTTTTGAAATCTGGCTGTGATTCCAGGTTCCAGGCCACATCTCAGTCTTTCAAGATGTCATGCCGTTTGCCCTTTGACCCTGCAACCTTTGGTCCCCCAGGGATGTTCATCTCCCCACCAGTGTTTCTGATGTGAGAGCTGGGTCCAGTAGCACTGCAGGCTACATCTGGGCCTCATCAGGTTTAGATTAGCTTTGGCTTCCTGGTTCCTGAAGAGCTGCTCCTTCACCCAGCTCTCCCAGGCCCGACCCCAGCTGCCGCTTTTAAGGCTCATTATTTGTTTGCATGCATACTGAACATACTGCCATGTTTAGTCATCTTTTGCCACCAGAGGGCAATGTTTAAACATGTTGCAGAAGGTTGGAGCTCCTTAATGACAATGAAGCCAATCATCGTTCCTCTCCTTACAACACTTTGACCTTTCTGTGGACGTATTCATAGTCCCATAGACCCGGTTCTACTGGAACCAGAACATCATCATCTGCTCCACCTCCATCTGTTGTGGTTCTTCCTCTCTGTTCGGAGTCAAACCAGGCTGTTCCCCTCCTGGCCTGTGGGGGCGCTGCACCAAGAACCACTGAAGACACTGAGAGCAACTTCCTTCACCAAATGGAATCTAAAATGGAGGCGTCAGACTTTAGCGGTTGGAGGATTTCCCTTTAGTCTTTGGCTAAAGACCAGGAGCCATTTCAGCTGCTAGTGCTAGGCTAGCATATTGGCTTTGGTTGTATTTACCCAGAATGCCTGGCGTTGTAGTCTACTTCCTGCTTTGGGAGCGGTCTCTGATCTGCTTGGCGTTCACTTCAACTGAACCCAGACTGAGGTTTGGAGGACCAGAGGTCAGAGGTCAATCACACCTCACCAGACAAACTGGAGTTTCTAGCAGATGGTCTGGAGTCGGGTTAAGGTGGACTGCACAGGCCTGTGACTCGGTGTGGAGGAGGAGCGAGGCGTGTTTTGGTCTTCCTGCACGCTCCCACAGGACATGAGGCCTCTTGCTGCTGAGGGTTTCGGCTCCCAGGTGGATTGTCTGATTGCCTCGGCGGCCTTTGATGGTGGAACCGGAAGAGGCTGGATCTCAGATGGATCCCCTGCAGGCGGACAGATCGGCTATCATTAAAAAAGCACCGCCTTTGTGTTTCCTACGGGAGGTGGACGCAATTAATGTTGCTCTAATACTAGCTGTGTGTTCAGTTGCTGTTGTCAGGGCTACTGCTGTTTGGGCTTGGAGTGTGAATGTTTCAGAATGACAGAGGAAGAAGGGGGGGCAGGAAAAACCGCAGGGGAAAGATCCCAGCAGATGACCCAGATGGGCCGGAGGAACCCTCGGCTCTGGCTGCACAGCTGGAGCAGCTGGACAGCAGAGAGGGGTTCCTCTGAGGTTCCTCTGAGGTTCCCCTGATGTCCCTCTGTTGTCCCTCTGAGGTTCCACTGAGGTTCCACTGAGGTTCCACTGAGGTTCCACTGAAGTTCCACTGAGGTTCCTCTGAGGTTCCCCTGAGGTTCCTCTGATGTCCCTCTGTGGTTCCACTGATGTCCCTCTGTGGTTCCACTGAGGTTCCTCTGAGGTTCCTCTGAGGTTCCACTGATGTCCCTCTGAGGTTCTTTTGAGGTTCCTCTGAGGTTCCCCTGATGTCCCTCTGTTGTCCCTCTGAGGTTCCTCTGAGGTTCCCCTGAGGTTCTTCTGATGTCCCTCTGAGGTTCCTCTGAGGTTCCCCTGAGGTTCTTCTGATGTGCCTCTGTGGTTTCACTGAGGTTCCTCTGAGGTTCCTCTGAGGTTCTTCTGAGGTTCCACTGAAGTTCCACTGAGGTTCCACTGAGGTTCCTCTGATGTCCCTCTGATGTCCCACTGAGGTTCCCCTGAGGTTCTTCTGATGTCCCTCTGTGGTTCCACTGAGGTTCCACTGAGGTTCCACTGAAGTTCCACTGAGGTTCCCCTGAGGTTCCTCTGAGGTTCCTCTGAGGTTCCTCTGAGGTTCTTCTGAGGTTCCACTGAAGTTCCACTGAGGTTCCACTGAGGTTCCTCTGAGGTTCCACTGAGGTTCTTTCATAATAAATTTCTGTATTTACACACAGAACAACCCAGTATCTGAGAACTGTGGAAACTGAAACCTGAATGTTTCCCTGCAGGACGTTCTGAAGGAGTGCCAGGAGCAGATCGAGCGCGTCCTGGAGAGCAGCCTGCGTGAGGGCCGGCAGCAGCAGCAGCAGCAGCAGCAGACGCAACGGGGCCCCAGCGGGAAGGGCCTGGATGAGCTGGACCAGGCCTCCACGCCCACAGATGTCCGCGACGTCAATTTGTGAAGCACCAGAGGGCGCCGTTGCACAGGATTTACAAGAATCTTTTTAAAAAAAACTTTCAGTCTTCATAAAAGCAGAAAAAAAGAACAAAAGAGCAAAAAATCGTTAAAAACACAAGGCCTTTAAAGAAATACAAAGACAGAGCTGGCTAGTTTTGTAGTTGATCTTTTCTTCAAGTAAAAACAAAAAAAAACAAAACAAAAAACAAAAAAAAACACAAAAACTCCTGCACATGAAATAGATTTTCCCTGATGCTCTAGTGTAAAAGCAACAAGCCTGATGAAGCTGCGGTGCCTTGGATGAGGAGAAGGGAATCGTTCTGCCTTTAAAGCTGCAGACAGGAGAACTGCAGAGATTTTCCATTTTCTATTTTATTTGCAAAGATGATTTTTCTCACCGTCTGCAGGCGGTGGAAGAAGAGGACGTGTCCTCCACTGCCAGATCGTCCACCTCTGTGGACGGACAGAACTGTGTAGAGCAGACGGTCCCGTTGCCAGGCAACCGCTGGAACGATAACAGTTATTAGTAATATTTATAATTATTGATACCATCAGAAATATTTTGGAACTTCATGAGCTCCTTTGGTTCAGGCTGCTTGTTTGCATCGATTTGAGGATGCAGAGAAAGAGAGTGTGCCTCCGTGTGTGTGTGCGCATGTGTGTGTGTGTGTGTGTGTGTGTGTGTGTGTGTGTGTGTGTGTGTGTGTGTGTAAAGGCGGTTCAGCCTCATGCTGCAGCAGTGTGTCAGACTGCTGCAGCTCACCTGAGCTAACAGGGGACAGGTTAGCAGAGAGACGCTTTGTCTCATCAGCTCTTCACCTCCAACCCAGAGGTTCTTGCTGCCGGGCCGGGGGCCGAGGAGGGGCCAGGGCGTGGCCCTCGGCGGCCCTCAGTAGCTGCACAGGGTGCAGGAGGAGCAGCAGAGGTTGGAGCGGATCAGGCAGAACTGTCTGATGTTTTCCTTCATGAGCAGCTGAACCTGTGGGGCGGGGCCCGCTGGGGTCCCATCCGGCTCCCGTTATGATTTTAATAGCTAAGCACTTTGAGGTGAAGTTCAAATCAAACGGCCTCCGGGTCAGGAGTGGGGAGCTTTCATTCCTTATTTCTCTGGATCCCAACCAGAACCAGAACCTGCTACAGATTCCAGCAGCAGCGTGTCATCGGTTCAGATCTGGAGTCTCTGCAGTAGTAGTAGTGGGGCAGCAGAGAGCCACATGGGGGCAGCAGAGAGCCACATGGGGCGGCAGAGAGCCACATGGGGCAGCAGAGAGCCACATGGGGCGGCAGAGAGCCACATGGGGCAGCAGAGAGCCACATGGGGGTGGCAGAGAGCCACATGGGGCAACAGAGAGCCACATGGGGCGGCAGAGAGCCACATGGGCCGGCAGAGAGCCACATGGGGGTACTGTGGGTCCCATGTCGGCCCCATGTGGGATCGGTTTTCTTTAAAGTCAGGGACCCAGCTGGTTCTCCTTTATGGGATCTGTTCAGTGGAATCAAAGACCAGTTTGAACCCAGTTTGAACTCGGTGAGCCCCTTCAGTACTGCACCACCCTAACCTGGCTCGGATGGGGCCCATGTTTGTTTGTGATGTTTGTAAAGAACCCAAACTTTCCCACGCCAGAACCAGAAACAGCTCTGGTTCTGGTTCTGGTTCTGGTTCCGGTTCCGGTTCCAGGTGGCTGCCTCTGCTTTTCATTTTCCATGTCCCACCCCAACCTGTTTCTGTCCTGTCATTCTTTGGCCTGATGGAAGCTCTCTCCTGAACATGATTTTTTTTTTCCTGCAGATTTCGTGCAGCGTGTGTTTATGTCAATGCCACAGTGTGTGTGTGTGTGTGTGTGTGTGTGTGTGTGTGTGTGTGTGTGTGTGTGTGTGTGTTTCTCTGGGGGGCCATCAGACCCACTGTGGGGGTTTTGGTTTTCAGATTTAGAGATACTGTATTCCAAAGTGAAGAGCGGTCCGCGGTGTGAAGACGTCAACAACAAAAAGTGTGGATATTTTATTGTGTTTTTTGCGCTGCTATGAGCTATGAATTTTTCATTTATACAAAATAACATTACCTAGTTGTGATGTGTCACTTGTGTGCTGCTATTTTATAAACATTTGTATTATAATATAATTATTTTACTGCTTAAGAGATACATCCAGAAACAAAGTAGAAGGTTTTAGAAGGTGAGGCGAGGATTCGACTGGAAATGTTCCTCGTACAGATGGACGGATGGGACGTTTCATTTCCTGTTCTCCGTTTCCTGTTTCCATCACATTCTTCTTCAGGGCGTGCCATGCCTCAGGACTACTGGACTCAGTCACACACAGATCCGTCACATATACCTCTGCAGAGGCAGGAGGAACCATTCCTACTGTTTCCATGAGCAACAACAGGAACTAAGCGAGGCTTCAGCTGGACTCTGACCGCAGCAGGAAGAGACGAGGAAACTTCCTGAACCGCCATGCATGTTCATGCTTGTCTGTGTTGGTGCTACAGCTGACTTGTTCTGTGCTACAGAGGGGAAAATCCCCAGGATGGCCAAAGTTTCTGCTTTCCATGTCCAGGATCACCATGAATGTCATGAATAAAAATGGATTCTGTATGTGAGACGTTCTGATTGGTCGTTTCCTGGTGCTCATCATGCACCTCCATAAACTTCTGCTCTGAAGGGTGTGACGCCACGGCGGCCGTCTGGTTCCCCCCAGCATGGCCCGGATCAATGCTGCTGAGTCAGCAAAACATCCACAGGTTTTCTGTTTCTATAACAAATGTTCAGTCTCACGAAAGAAACTTTTCAGGTCAGGAAAATCATTTTCATCTCAAAGATGATCTGAATAAATAAAAAGTAATTACAGTGGTTCTGATCAGTACAGGTCCTCTCAAGCGTTACGTTTTTACAGTTAATCCCAAAAGTATTCATGTTGATGAGAGAATAATTTATCTTTGAAGATAAAGCAACGCAACAGGATGGACATTTTTCTAAAAAATAAATTTTCCAGTAACAGCAGAATAAATTTCATAATAAAATGATCATTTAAATGCTAGTTCTGCATTAATCTGCTGGACTGTTCACCATAATAGATTGACTTTCATGCAGGGTGGTCCAAAGTGCGGTCCAGGGGCCATCTGTGGTCCTCCAAGTGATTTCTTGTAGAATCATTTTCTTTTCCAGTTGGTGGTTGAAAACATTTTACAGTGCAGATTAAAATGGAAGCTACAGCACAAAGTATTCATTGTTCAATCAAACATGTCAGTTTTTACTCAAACATCCAGGAAGTTTTACTCAAAACAGACTCTGGTGAGAAAAGCTGGAGTTTTTATTTCTGTCCTTGTTACTGAGAATAAACACCAAAAATGGAGAGAAAATAATATAAAAATTGAATTTTAAACGTGTTTTAAAATGTTGTTAGATTTTATTTTGAACAAGGTAAACCTGCAGGTTCTTTTTTCTTACTTTTTATTTTCAATAACTGTTTTATATCAACATGTCTGCCTTGTCACATCTTAACATTTACACAGACCATTTTAGACATTTCAGCTCCACCAAGCAAACAGGCCGTCCAATTCCAGCTCTGCCAAAAGTTATCCAGGGACTATTGATGGAGGGAAAAGGCAAACAAAGACATTTCCTTCAAATAGACATTAATAGAAACTTATATTCATTAACAACATCCATGGATCTATAAGTCACAATAGTTGCAGTGAAAGGGACAACAGTAGACATAATGAAAATACAGACTAAAGTAATAAAAGTACACAATAATACAAAATAAACTCAAAGGTACACAATCAAATCAATTTTCCAATTCTGTCTCTCCACTGTGTGATACTGGCAGGTTGTGGCCTTAACCAAGCAGGTGTTGTACACTTCCTCCCAATCAGAAGCAAAACTCTGATCAAGTATTTATTGTGTTTGTCGATCACATCCGAGGGGATTATTCCTAAAATATATACAGATGTATCCAGATCTAAATAAATGCCTAATATACTTGTCATATTTGTTTGTGCATTTTTCCAAAACTCGACCACCTTCAGACAGTCTCAAAATATGAGTAAAATCTCCACCTTTCCACAATTCCTCCAACAAAGCTGAGATGTTTCACCATATTTAGATGTGATAACTGGAGAGTTAAAGTAACTTTCCAGTCAAACTCCCTCCATGTGGGGCTGTTAGTTCATTTGTGTCCAGAGCTAAACGTTTCTTCCAATCCTCATCTCCTGTTATTATATTAGCTTCCACTTCTCCTTAATCTCCTTATTATTAACATTGGATTCATATTGTAGGCGTCTGTATAGTTTTAAAATCAGGCCTTTGCTGTTGATAACAAAATTTATTCATCCATCCATTTTCTAACACCCTTGTCCCTAATGGGGTCAGGAGGTCCTGCTGCCTCTCCAGCTAAT